GCCATTTGAGCAAAGATGAACTGATGGTGTCATTGATATCTTTGTGCCTATTGAAAGTGTAAACTTCTTGTATTCCTCTCCATTAAAAGATAAGATCCGTTGTCTGATACTATTTCTTCTGGAATTCCGAATGTAGCAAACTTTGTTGTTCAGAGCTTGGATTAGACGAGTTTGTCCCATGCATTATCTGTATCTCGATCCATCGACTGTAGCTGTATCTACTTCTATCAAGAATTTATTGTCAAATTTCTCCAAGGAGTCCCAAACTCGCTCGGTTTTTGACCATGGTGTATACGGTACTGAAACTGCTTTGGATTGTAAGGACTGAATTTTCGCAAGAGTTGACACAGTTCTCCAAATCTTGATTTAGATTAGGCCACTAGTCCAGGAAATATATAATTTTAGGATGCAAAATTCATAGTAGTTCTGAACATAGGCTTGTTTTATGTTTTCTGTGACTATGAATCCGAATTTTCAACTTTCCACCAAAAATTCCCCCCGCACCCTCCACCCATTTTGAAAAATAGAAAAAATATAGTTTTTTTAAATACCGTTATTTTGTGTATTTCAGAGAAAAAATGTGGAAATTCGGAAAGTAGACAAAATTTTCGACAAAAACATCATTTGCTATTTTGACGTAGGGAGAATGAGTAGGGCGTTCGCGCCTTGGTGCTGCACGCACGTCAGGACGATAACGTAGACTGTCTCATCCTTAATACCGCTATTGAAATGGCATCAATTCATCCATCGGTGATTATTGTCGGCGAAGATATAGATTTATTAGTTCTATTAACTGTACTTGCTCAATACGCCAATATTTACTTCATGAAGCCCAACAAAGGCAAAGTTTCACAACAGATCTACTCACCCTTTGGTCTTGAAGAAAACACAGTGGCTACAAATATATTATTTTTACATGCTTTCAGCGGCTGTGACTCTACGTCTGTGATTTTTGGCCACGGTCCAGCTTTTCTAGAGTCCGAAAACACGGAGGATTTGTCAGATTAGTCTTTTCTAAACTTCCTTTTTGGTCTTCCTTCAACGATGGATCAATCAATCTACTTTAAAAACGGAACTTTGATTTCGCGCATGAAGCTAATTTTCAGCAGTGACATAGATAAACCTGGGCCATCAGCTGCAGTTAAACGGTAAAGAGTAATTTAAACTTTTTTTTAGATAATTTAATTTATTTTTAGTAATAAAAGTCTATATTTTTTAAATATATGTGGATGTGTTTCTGAACTTGTCTGAAAATAGGTGGGGAAAAGTTGGAGGTTGAGAGTTGACTTCCAGATGCTGAAAAATACGAGAGATTAAAGGAGGGAAGTGGTTAAAACGAAAGGTAAAGCGGGTGGAGGGAGGGCGAACACGAACGCGCGCCTGCCGGTGCGCAGAATGAGCGTAATTCAACGCACGCCAGCGCCTCCTACGTGCGTAGTATGTAAACATGTTTTAGGACGTTTTTGGTTGCATACTATATTATATATTATTATATTATATTACATTTCAAATTTGTAGGTATTTTATTCGTGAAACCACAAAAAAAACGATTCCTTAACATATTTTTTTCTTATTTTCAAGATTTGGGAGAATTGCGGAGGGAATTTTTGGTGGGAAGTTAAAAATTTGGATTTAGTAACCGAAAAAACATAAAGTAAGCCTAATTCCAGAACTACCATTAATTTTGCAAGATAAGTGCATAGGCGTTGAAGGTTCATATGTAGAAAAATAAATTTTGATTTGCCTTAAATTTCTTTTCTTTCATATCTAGGTAGATTACATAACAATCTCCCCTCGTATTATTATAAAATTTCTTTGAAATTTTAACCATAGATGCTTCTAGTAAAGAAAAGCATAGCACAGCGATGGCTTTTTGGGAAGTACTGATGTATAGAAAATGCGCTAAAGTTACTGGCCTTATATTAGGGCGAAAACGTTTTTACTTATTTAAGTTAAATTAATATCGCAACTAAAAGAAGTAAAAACATGGCATTCTATTTAAAAATATTCTTCATTTTTTAATATGTTACTTGACAACCAGAGCGGTAAGAAACTTCTCTATCCGGCTCTGCTAAATTTCTTTTGGGTGCAAATCTAGAATATAGTGCAATGCTAATTTTGAGAAAAATAACTGAAAATGCACCTTGGAGATAGCTTTACTGTGTTAAATTACTCAACTGTGAAGTAGATAAAGTGCATACCTATTTTGCGGACAGTTCATTATTCAAATAGCTACGATTAGACGCAAATCTGTCGAAAATAAGTGTCGTAGAAGAACTACATATCTTCATGGTAATTGCTAACTTGTAGAGTTTAGTAACGTTCATTTACTGTAAATAATAATATATATGATATATTTCAGTTATTACTTCAAATTGACAGTCCCATTCCTTTTCGATTCCAATTTTTTAACAAATAAGTAATTCGTATAAATAAGAGTATAAATGTAATGGTTTACCGCAATACGAAATTGGACTTATTAGTTTTGAAGTGATTTTTACAAATTCTTGTAGATTTGTGTATAGGTTTGATGTGTTGTCTCTTCGGATAATACTTTGATTGCAAGTTTCGCGTATTAATAACCTTGCTATGTTCATTTCGAGTTATTCGGATCAGGAACAAAAGGATGTGAAGTGGTGCTTAAACGCGAATAGCCAAACATTCCGTATGTCGCTTGACTAGTTCGAATGAAAATAAGGTTGTCGAACAAGTGTTGTTCAAATATTGAACAGTGCAGGGCTACTATAGCTGGATTCAATATAGGTGCTGAATTTGCATTCTTGGAAGTCGGAATTCAAGCATAATAAAATCGATGACGTATGTTCCAACTACGTTGATGGCTCTCGAGACACCCCTAAACAGGAGATAACCACTTCAACAGCGACGAACGCAAACCTGCTTACTGCTTAGTTAAAAATATGAATTTTCTCTTTTGTCTGACATTTGTATCGACCAACGGAACTGATAAAGGAAGTGTCTCGGGAAGTATTATTGAAATTGTAATATAATGAAGTTTATAGAAAGTGACTACTTCCGCACAGCACCAGATTTTATATTGAGAAATGCTAATCTGTTTAGAGTGTCTGGAGCGTATTGTGATGATAATAAATAAACTTACTATAATGTTTCACCTCTGGAGAAATTAATTCAGAATTAATAAAAAACTAAGTCAATCAACCCTCATTCGGTAAAAAACGACCGTAAGGATGCGCGCCTGGCAGGCGGCGAAACAGTTGACTTGTTGCAGCATGCATGGAACTTTTTGTTCATGAATTGCGACAATGAAATCAGACATAGATACGATTTTTGAATCATGAAACGAAACGCTAATATAATCAATTCAAGCAACGCATTCACAATCACATCAAAAAATGTTCGGGTAAGCACCAGTGCTGAAAAATAACAGTGGCCTTTTTTTTGGATACTACACTGATGATGCAATCCTCACTCATTGCGTTCCGAAGGGTACTACGATGACAGGTGCATCCTACAAAGGTGTTCTGAACAAGTTGCACCATCACCGGATCATCGGATGACCTCTGCCACTGAACAAGTAGTTTCTATTATAGGTACCTTAGAATATTTAGGTACCCCTCATTCCTCAAGACCGGCTTTTCTAAAAGGTCTATCGGAGATCCTATATTATTCACCATCTACTTATCGATGTCTCTGAATGTGCATCAGTCTTGCTTGTTTGTCTCATTTTTATTCCGATAATTAACCGATCAAAAGAACTTACCTGAAGTTCGATCGGAATTATATGAGGCGTCCGGTCCGAATATATCATTTTGTAACACACTGTAGTACGTGCTTTTCCTACTACCATGCACAAGGTTAAAAGATAAAGAAAAAACTCGCTCTCCCCCCTAAACGCCGCCTCGTACCCACTAGCAGTTGGTTGTTCATTTTTCAAAGACGCTGTTTTTCAACGACGCTGGGCGGTAGGGGGAGGGCAATGATATATTCGGACCGGACGCCTCATATAATTCCGATCGAACTTCAGGTAAGTTCTTTTGATCGGTTAATTATATTTCGGCGTCCGGTCCGAATATATCATTTTGTAACACACTGTAGATGTTTAAAGAATATATACGTCGTAAAAACAGCTATATTGTATGTAACGCAACAGTGTAGTACGCAAACACCATAAAAAGAAAAAAGAATTCTTAAGTGTACTCCTCCAAAGGGTGGTACCACTACGGTAAACTGGACAGAAAACTTAATAACTAATTAAAGTTTAAATACGGCATTCATAAACTCGTCTGAGACTGCCAGTGGTCTATTGTAAAAACGAGCGAAAGACGATGAATGTTCGGTCCAGCCCGCTGACTTCCTAATAGTGTCCAGGGACATACCATTCCTTAGGGCTGCAGATGTGGACGCATGTCTAGTGGAGTGGGCACAAAACAGAGTCATGTCCACTCCCGCTTCCTTAAGTGTCGCTTTTACCCAACGGCTCAGCGACTGTTTGTTTGCTTGCCCATGTGGTTTCTTGTAGGTCAAAAACAAGTTGTCGCAGCCCGTGGGTCTTACAGGGTCAGTCAGGGTTAAGTAAGACTTAATCAATCTGGATACGCACAGTCTTGGATTTTCCTCAAAAAAGGGCAAATTCAAACAGGGTTGTTTCCTTCCGGGTGCTGACGTTTTTATTTGGTCTGGAATTAGGATCTTTACGCCAGAGTCTAAAAACTTGATGTTGCTACACTTAATCAACGAGATTTTTTGCTGCTTATTGGGCGTAACACTTGATTCGGAGTTGAAGTGGGACCAACATGTTAACGTTCAGCGTGTTAAATTAGCTAGAGCACTATTTTTGATTCGCAATTTAATAAGGGTGACTCGAAGGAAACTGTTATGGCAGCATACTATGGCATATTTCATTCGGTATTATCTTATGCAATTCTTGCATGGGGCCATTCTGCCCACTCTCGAGTATTATTTGGTTTGCAGCGCAAATGTATACGATTATTTAAAAACCTTAAATACAGAGATTGTTGTCGTCAGGGTTTTATCGAATTAAATATATTGACATTACCTTGCATTTACATACAGCAATGTTTAATATATACTAAAGAACACATGACTACACTAACTGTAAGCACGGATATTCATACTTACAATACAAGGAACAAAGAGAATCTTTATATACCGTTTCATAGATTAAACAAGACCAAAGATGGCACTACATTTTACGGCATGAAATTTTTCAATGTCTTGCCAAAACAAATAAAATATTTAGATTTGCACGCATTTAAAAACTGTGTAAATAGTTACCTTAAACGAAAAGCTTTTTATTCTTATGAAGAATTTTTAAAAGATAAATTTGATAACATTTAAGTTTTAAAAGCAACAGTACCTTGTGTGATCATGTTCTCGTGTCCTTTGTCTTTTTTTTTTAATATTATGTAATTGTACCTGATGACGTGTGAAAATACTATTGTATAGATCACAAATAATAAAATGAAATGAAATGAAATGAAATGATCCTTTGTCCTGTTGCTAGGGCTAGCAAAGTCACCAGTTTCTGCAACAGTTGTTTTAGATTGCCATCAGGGGTGCTTCCCAAAAACTTTAGCACCTGTTGGGGGTCCCATGTAGCTTCATATCTAGGCCTTTGTGGTCTAATTCTAGATATCCCCTTCAAAAACCTTTTGAGGTTAGGATCTGAACTAATGTTCCCCGAGGTGATTAAGGTTAAAGCTGCTCTGTGGGAGTTGAAGGATCCATATCTATTTTCCGTGGTTTCCAGCAGGTTTTGTAAGAAGGATATTATCTTTAATACTTCGCCTTCATATGGGGAAATTTTCTGTTCCTCACAGAATTCCCACCAAAGTTTAAGTGTTGTGTTGTATTGCTTAACTGTGGAAACAGCTAAGGAGCTGAAAATAGTCTCTATGGCATTGTCCGGTAGTCCTTTTCGTTTGAAGGCCTCCCTGATAACCTCGCGACCACCAGGGTAAGGCTTCCTGATAAAGGGTGGAGGTGTCCGCTGAAAGGACAGAGCAAAAGATTATGTCTAGGTCTTAAAAACATAGGTTCGCCTACAATCAAATTTACAAGGAGTGGGTACCAAGGCTGAGCTTGCCAAAAAGGGACTACGAGGATCCCTGTTGCCTTGTCCTGTATTATCTTTTGAAGTACCCTAAGTACAAGCGAAAAGGGAGGGAAGGCATAGAAGAAAAGAGACGACCAATCTAAGGTAAAGGCGTCTACTGCCTCTGCCCCCGGGTCCCGAAACCAAGAGACGTATCTACTACACTGGTGGTTACTTTGTGAAGCAAACAGATCTATTTCAGGTTCCCCAAAGACTGAGACTATGTGAAAGTAAACAGTTCTGTTCAGCGCCCATTCCGTTTCAGGTAGCAGCAAACGCGATGCGTGATCAGCTTCAGAATTATCGCTAGAGCAAATGTACGAGGCGAAAATCCAAAGATTACTTGCCTCGCACCACTGTCAAATTTCCCTTGCCAGTTGATTTAACCTGGGGAATTGAACACTACCCATTCTGTTTACATAGGCTAGGGCCGTAGTGTTATCCGTTCGAATAAGGACATTAACATTCCTCAGATCTTTCGCAAAGCATTTCAGGCCATAAAAGATAGCCTTGAGTTCTAGGAAATTTATATGATTGTCCTTTTCTACATCGGTCCACCAGCCGCGTGTACTTTCACCATCACAAACCGCTCCCCAGCCTGACAGGCTGGCATCGGTGTAAATTGTTAAATCAAAAGTATCACTCTTAACGTCATTGTACGCTTTGTCAATATTATTAAGCCACCAAGACATGTCTGAAAACAGATGAGGCTTCAGGCTCATTTTTGAGTTGTAATTTCCAGAGTTTTTAATTAAAGCCTGGTATTTGGCACGTTCGAAAACCTTCGTGTATAACCACCCGTATTTTATGGCTGGGCAGGCCGAGACAAGAATACCAATGAACTGAGAAAACTTACGTATTGTGCAAGTTGGGTGCTTTCGAAGAGAAATAATCCAAGATTTGATTCTTTCTCTCTTTTCTGGTGGCAGTTCTACTGACATTCTTATAGAATTCAAAAGGAATCCAAGAAATTTGCAATTCGTGTTAGGTGCGAATACGCTTTTTTCGAGGTTGATCAAGAAACCTAGAGATTCTAGCAACTGTATTGCCGTTAAAATATTATGGGAACACTCTTCCTTAGATCTACCCAAAAACAAAAAATCATCGAGGTAACTTACACATAGTATACCCTTGTTACGTAACTTTTGAATGACGGGCTTCATTAGCTTCGTAAAAGCATATGGAGCAGAAGCTAGACCAAAAGGCAAGCAAGTAAATTCGAAAAGCTGCCCTTGCCAGGAAAACCTGAGGTATTTTCTATGATCCCTGTGCACCGGCAGTAGAAAATATGCCTCTTTCAGGTCTAGAGTAGCAAAAAAAATCCCTTTTGGATTAATCTTCTTGCAGTTCGAACATCCTCCATTTTAAAATGGGGAGCAGATATAAAGGAATTTAACTTTTTGAGGTTGAGAATGAACCGTTTTTTACCATTGGGTTTATCAACCAAGAAAATTTTGGAGATAAATTGGTCCGGTAGAAGGTCACACCTCTCTATTGCGCCTAAATCCAATAGGTGGGCAATTTCTTTCAAAAAGTGCTTATTTGTCGTCCCTGAAGAACAGAACAAGGGCGGATGTGACTGAACAGGTTTAAAAGTAAGCGGGAGCTTGTAACCCCGTAACCAATCCAAAACAATTGGATTAGCTGTTAGGTCTGTCCACTTTTCGTAAAAGTGAGCAAGACGTCCAGCGAATTTCTTACTCACCGATATTAATCCCTCCGTTGTTTGTGATAAGGATGGCTCTGCTGGCCCTTCTTTGTCCAACGTGCTCCCTTCGAAGGCTGTCCCTTGTATGGTCTCGTCTCGCCCCCTCGACGGACCGGGCGTTGAGAGTTTAAATTCTGGACCTGAAGGGGGGCCCGTTGCTGGCTACTCCCTCCCCCCCACCACTTCGACGATTTATTGCGAGTGGCAGGTAAAATAGTGGGTTTAACCAACTTTAGATCTTTAGTGACGCTTTCCAAATTCTTCGCCAATTTTATTTTTTCCCCAAGGTCATCTCCAAAGAGAAACGACGACGGTGGACAAATCTCCACCTGTTCCTTGACCTTCTTGTTTAGAGAGGGGTAAATCAAATTTCTCCTCGTCACAGACTCGCGGTGAAATAAATTTGTCAAAATTCTGCCGGTATCGCACAGATACTCGAGCAACTCATTTTTTATCACAGTTGTGTCACCATTTAACAATAAGTCAATGCCCTTACCCAGGGCACACAAACCCTTGCCCAGGTGGTTCTGAACCTCGACATGAGATCCATCCCGAGCAAGATTATACCTGTCGAGAACTGCAGGAATCTCTGGGTTCATTTTTGGAGGTATCAAATCGGTGAGATTTGCCGGGGTCAGGTATTTGAGCAACAAACCAGTTGCTTCATCTTTTTTTAGACCGTTTCTTAAAATATGTCGCCAACGAGAAGCTAACGAATCGTGTAAAAACGGATTGTTTTCTTTGCTATTCTCAGGGTCGTCCCCGAGGATTTTTACGACCTCTTCAGGTAGTGTCTCATCGTTATGAATAATTAGCGTATCGTTTGGCTCATTACGAACACTACACGTGTCAGAAAGCCTCGAAAAAACCTCATTTCCAATTTCAGAATCGTTACGCGGACGTGTAAAAGAGGGCGACGGGCTACAAGCCCGGTCCTGTACCCTGCCATCAGCTGCTACAGGCAGCCGTTGTAATGGCGACCGCGATCGCGACAACGTGACGCGGCGGGTATGGCGCCTGTGATTACGAGTCCGCCAGGTAGAACTGCTGGGGCTGCGGGACCTAGAACGCCGCGTCCTTTTTTCCAAAACTTCTAACCTTTTAAGCAACGCTCGCGTATCTACAGGATACTGAGAATCGTTGCTCGGCGACCGGCTTCTGCCCCGCGGTGAAAAATTATCCCGCGGCGATCGACTTTTATTTCTCCTATGTTTCTTCGATTTTCCCATCCTTAACTAAAAAAGCGCTGCAAATGATCTGTCAATGTATACTTACATCAGCCGAAACTTACTTTTAACAAAAGTACGGCAAAACAACAGCAAAGCGAAGAGCGTAACCTTACGCATGGAGCACAAAAAACACAATGAACAACCAACTGCTAGTGGGTACGAGGCGGCGTTTAGGGGGGAGAGCGAGTTTTTTCTTTATCTTTTAACCTTGTGCATGGTAGTAGGAAAAGCACGTACTACAGTGTGTTACAAAATGATATATTCGGACCGGACGCCGAAATATAATAGCAGATTAAATGCAAATGGAGTACTTACAATGAAGAATAACGCAATTATATCCTCCTACTGGAGTGAAGGGGTGAAATTCCATTATCAGATTGATGCGGAATCACCCAGTTAACCGAATTTAATCGCCCGATATTAATACATATGGGTGGCGGTAATTAAATTCCCCTGCGTTTCGCTGTTTGATTAAAAATGTGCACTCTGTCACAGCTGATGAACAAAAGAGGAAAATGAATGTTAACCATCGATAATGACTAATCACACCGCCGTACAATTGCATGTTTAAAAATTCCAAGGTTACAAATTGTTACGAGGATAATTCAACAAGTGAATATACCGGGAAAAATAATAATGCTTCTAATGAAGAAAATAAATAGTGTTGGAAGATAATAATATAAAATGTCTTCCGCACAAGACTCTTTACTGGTGAAGTTTCAAAATTTGCAAAAAAACAAACCCTAACCCATAAATTTATGGAATCTGATACGCATAAAAAATCCTATCTGAAATATTACCCACAAGTACGCACGAGGGTGCAATTGTCCTTTTTTGAGCAAACATACATTGTAGCTTTTAAATTGTGATTATTTCTAGCGTTTTCATGATTCATGTAGTCAATGGCAATTTATCCATTGGCTGTCAAATGCGGTTGGCTAACCTTTATCTATCTTAATCCGTCCTCTGTGGCCAAAAGCGTCTTATCTGGTCGCATCCCCGTCAAGATAAACCCTGAAAGATGACTGCGGAGGCTAAAGTTCGACGTCGCACTCTTTAAATAACGAAGAATTTTTCCAACTGAAAGCACAGTAGTCTTTTCAGTAAGGGCGAGTAGTGCACGGATGGTACATACTCAAATTAATTAATTCGGCACGTTATTATTATCATGTTTTTGTGGGTCTAATGACCGAATTGTATACGCATTCCCTTCCCTTATGTATTCCGCATGAATAATTCAATTAACGCCCATCTGACTATTATTGTATTCATATATGAATGTGTAGAAATGTTTCTGTAGTAGAATTAAAAGCAATTTATAAGCCTTGGCAGATGTAATTAAGCGTATGATGCAATACGTTCAAATGAAATTGCAAACGATCGCACTGTTGGTCATTACCATATTTGTAGTATTCCTATCTGATTGTGACTAACAATTCGTATTACGTTTGGATGGCTGCCGAAAGAGATATCATTCATATGTGTTCAGAATAATAAATATTACCACGCGGATTCATTTTTGTTGTATTTGATCTAAAATTCGATCATTATTTTATCGTTTGTTTCACATAACTTCCCTACAGCAGCGGTGCGTTGCGTTACTGCCAACAAATGATTAATTACTATCTGATAGAAGATACCATTGTCGACGTCCTTAAGTGCGTACGCCTTAATGGAAAAAGTAGGTGCTGTTTGTATATAAATATGTATAACCCGTAATGAATAATCGATACTTAAAATTGTTGAGTTTAAACTTTTCCAATTTCTTGTTTCCACGAACAAAACTTGCAAAATTCTTTGCTACCAGATTTACTATTTAAATTACCTACCGTAACCCTGTTTGGGTGAATTTAAAATTTCCAGAATTAGCGCGGAAATTGATAAACTTTTTCAACTCGCGTTATTGGAAATCAACCCTTCTTCTACAATTACCCGCCGTGCAATATTATAAAGCAGAGGACGTTCTCGGAGCCAATCTCGAAACCGAGTAGGTGTAAATAATGTTTGAGGGTGTAAGCTAAAAAGCTTTCGCAACGTTATATTTTTAGGGGATGGCGCACATGAGCTCGTTAAATCCAAATCGTGGAAATTAGTGTACTTTTACAGAAAAATTTTTGCGTGCGCCCGACAGAACATATAAAATATAGTAGCGCGCTAACATAAATTCTGGCAAGGGAAGCACCTGGAAAAACTGGAACGAATAAAAACATAAAAGAGTACAATAAAGCCACGAAAAAAATCCGCTTTTACAAGCACCTTTAAAGTTAAAACTAATTGGGGCCCGTGTCAGCATTACTCGGTTCTGCTATCAACCAGTCGGCTCGGTAAATAATGAGATGTCCATTTAGCAACGGTGCATCTCTGCCCCTAGGTTCCGGAATAAATGATGTTCCCAGAGTCGTTTGTTGCGAGGTGATGGAGTGACTTGTTAGCTGCCGGACGACTTCGGGTAAGTGATCTGGGCTTAGGGACGGAGCTTTAATTATCTTCATTCATCGTCGCTCAGATACAACTGGGATTTTCATGTCGACGACTACCATTGATGTGTAACCGCCACTTTGTACCTTCCTATGAAATGATACGGCATTTAGTAATACGATAACCTTAACTCTTGTTACATTAAATTCGTCTTTCATTACCTTCTATACAATTTCTTTCGTTAAATCCATTTGCGACATTCCTACACAAACCGCGTAAAATAAGCCCCTACTCGCAGAAATCTAGTGTAACAAACACCTTTGTGTCGACTAACGTGGTGCAGTTGGGAGTGATTAATTTATTAGCGAAAGCCCTTAAGTATCTATGCGATGCACTTAACGTTCCATCTGATAATTTGTCATTATGCTGATTAATCTATTTTATCCGTTAATGATCCGTGAATCTTGAGAATTACTAGAAATCAATTCTCTCGTTGAGAAACTGGAACCTAGATATTCACACTTGAAATTCAAAGATACACTTAAAACACTTCCTTAGGATTGTGAAATTATTTTCTTCTATTACGACATGATGACAATTTTATTTATTTTTTTATATCGTATCTCATTCTTTAGATCGTCATTGACATTGTGGGCGTTTTTAAAAATCAATGTTTGCCACGGAGACGATGTATTTTCAATTCTAATTGGAAGGATTTGACTTCTGTACTCTGTTCCTGTGGAAAGATTACACTTTGCTTACCTCATTATCTTCCAGTCCAATCATGGACCAAAAATAATTGTTAATGCCCCCGTAAATGGTCGAAATGCTGACCGTCACGCTTTGTGCATTCCTGCAGTCTCTCATGGGCAGACAAAACTGCAGCTTCAATCGGTATGTGCTTAACGAATCCGGTTTTTCATATTTTCTCTGGTCGTAAGTTCAGTCTGAAACACGATGTCCTTTAATCGCGCCCATAAATAAAAAAGATCCAGACAAGTTAAGTCTGGTGATCGCGGAGGCCATGGAAACAGACTTCCCCTTCCTATCCACTGCTGTTGAAACACTGCATTAATATGCTCTCGCACAATAAGAACAAAATGTGCTGGGAAACCATCCCACTGCAAAAACAAGTTTAACGTGTTTCCAGTGGCACATCTTCCAACAATAATGGTAATTGATTGGCCAAAAAGACATTGCCATTCAGGGATTTCTCGAAAAAATATGGCCCAATAATTCTGCCCCCCAATATGCCACACCACACATTTAAACTGCCGAACTTAACGCAACCAATGCGGATTTTCTTCAGACCAATAATGCATATATTGCGCAGATTGACTCTTCGTCATATTAAAGGTGGCTTCATCGGTTTAAAGAATTGGAAATAAAAATTCTCTATTTTCGCATATCATGCCTAACATCCATAGACAATAGTCCAATCTTCGATCAAAGTCTTGTTCTTTCAAGGCCTGATGCATAACGACATGATATGGGTCCATTCTAAAAGAAATTTAAAAAAAAGTTATATTTAAATAAATCCCTATTTTTTTATGGCCATATCATGTACCTCCGAATTGGATAAAGTTTTGCTGCTACCTCTAGACGAATATTTTCTTTCAGTTGATCAAGTGCTCAAAGACGTCCGGGTGGGTTAAGAGGGCACTGCCTTTTCTTAACATCCACCGCATAAACGGCCAGTTAACTAAGGGATGTAAAACTAAAAGAGCATATGAAAGGGATCGGCGTACTCAAACAAAATGGTACCGCGATTCCCATTAAATCGATCGTGTATTGATAGGAAACAAGAATGAATTACTAACAAATGACGTTTAACTTAACAAGCAAATTGATGTTTGTACAATCCTTGAAGAGGAATTATCCAATAATTAAGAATAAGAAGAAATTTCATTCTCCTGTGCATCGATTTTGATTAGGGACTTGGTAATTATATA